AAAAGAAAAAAAAGAAAATGAGTATCTTCAAGGTTTTGTCTGCCCTAACCAAACAGAGCATCCACTCTCCCTAAAAATCACAGGACTAGAAGGAATTTTAAGGATAATTTAGTCTCAGACTCATTTGACAGATTAAGAAAGTGAGACTCCAGAGAAAGTCAATGACGTGACCCCTGGGTCACAAACTAACAAGAGGCACAGCCTTGATTTCTGGGCCTCCATATTCTCCCTCTACCAGGTGACCCCTCGGGATCACAATCTCTCCTCTGTGTTCTCTGAGGAAAATGAAAATTCTACATGTATTTGAGGCCAGAGTCATAATGGGCTAATTATGAGAGGATTAAAAAGTTTGTCAAATAAAGCAGAAGACACTGCTCAAGTCTTGGCAAAGTTTTCGAGGAAAATCTTCATGGTTTACAAATCACAGGGTACTTTAACCATTGAGGGCTTTAAGGTGTAGAGATATTTTGAAAATATTACACGAACATATAGGGAATTATATAATGATATTCTATACTAAAGTATTCTTATCTAATCAATTTAGTATTTGCCAGAAACAATTAGGGTCATGTTTAACAAAGTTAAGGTAATGTTTGAATAGTTAACTTTTTTATAGCAAGGGAAAACCTAAATAACCAACCAGGTTAAATTTAGGCCAAAGTAACAGAGAGAAATAATGGGTATATAATTGGTAGTCACAACAAACATGTAAATAAATTATTTCAGAGAGTATACCACAGTTGAAAGTGTAACAACTTTTAATCTTACACAAAGGAAAAATAAATGGACCAACATATATATACACACACATGTATGTATACATATATTTTGTATATTCTTTTCAGAATGCTTACCGTTTACAAAGCAATGTATTAAACACTTTATATATTTTAGGCTGGGCATGGTGGCTCACACCTGTAATTCCAGCACTTCGGGAGGCTGCGGTGGGTGGATCACGAGGTCAGAAGATTGAGACCATCCTGGGTGAAACCCCATCTCTACTAAAAATACAAAAAATTAGTTGGGCGTGATGGCCCATGCCTGTAATAACAGGTCCTCAGGGGCTGAGGTAGGAGAACTGCTTGAACCTGGGTGGTGGAGGTTGCAGTGAGCAGAGATTGTGCCACTGCACTCCAGCCTGGGCAACTGAGTGAGACTCCATCTCAAACATAAATAAATAAAAACTTCATATATTTTATACCATTTAGTCACCAGGAAACCTTATTAGGTTAGTAGTATTATTCCAGGTTTGTAGAAAAGAAAAGTCCATAAATTTGTGTAATAAGTAATTTGCTCAAGTATACACAGTTAACAAGCTATAAGGTAAGATATACAGTTAACAAGCTATAAGGTGAGATCTGACGTTGAACTCACACCTGATTCGAAGCTCCAACTTTAATAATGTAACTCAGGGGTTGGCAAACTTACTTGAGAGAGCTTGATGGTACATACTTTAGGCTTTGGGGTTATATTGTCTCTGCTGCAATTATTCAACTCTGTTTTTTTGTAGTTTGAAAGCATCAAAGACAATACATAAGTCAATGGATGTGACACTGTTCCAATAAGACTTTCTTTACAAACACACATAATGGGCCACATGCTGCACCAAAGTTCACTGGTCACAAAGTGGAAAAGCTGCTACTCTTTCCTGTTTGACCAAGAAAACTATCCAGTTACTTGCCCTGAAATGTCGCAATGCATAAATCATATTACAGATTAGTTCAGAAACCACTGAAGAAGTAAACTCAATTAGAGTAAAAATGAATTGCTCAATTAAAGTTAAAAAAAGACTGAAAGCAGGAAAATAATCTGCCCATTATTCTAATGCTCATCATTCCCAAGTACATAATTCCTTTATTATAGAAAAATTATTTGACTGATAAAAAACCATTGTTCCACTGAGAGAAAATGTCCTGAAATATAACATCATTATATCATGAAGCCCATAGAAAGAACCTTCTAAGTAATACATGTAGATGGTAGAATGATTCCCTTTTCTTTAGTGAATCATTGTTCCATGAGAATATCCACTTTATAAATGGAATAGATTTACCCACTCTCTTGTGAATATTCATTAGGTTACATGCAAAATGATATTTTCTACATCAGTTCAAATAATGTTTATTAAATATCTACAGTGACCTAAACTCTGGCCATAAAAGAGACCAACACCTAAACCCCTAGTCTCAACACAGCACTGTAAGTACGTTAATGGCTATATACTCACAAGAAGGAGGTGACTCTTTAAATGCAAAGTGAAAGAAACAGGAGCACCGGTCTGTGACGGGAGTAAGACTCAAGGGGGACTGAAGAATGGAAAGCTAGTTTTTGCAGATTCTGTGATCTGTGAAAACACAGATTATCTGCCTGCCAAAATGATCGTTCTCAAGAAACAACTGAAACAGGTGACTAAAGAACTTGCAAATTATCACACAAATGTGCCTTGGCAATAAATCAAATCCAATGTCTTGTCATTGGAAGAACCGAAGTATTTAACTTAATTTTGCACAGTAGCAGAAAGCTGCTTTCAAAGACTTTGCATGGCGCAGATAAACAGCCGTAACCCACATAATTTTTTTATTAGATGATCACTGTGGGCATGTTTTATCCCTGCAGTTATAATCAAAACATTTCCAAGAAGCATGAGATATAGTCAAATGAACACTTAGATGATAGAACCTAGAAACTGCCCATTAGACATAGATTTCTTTTTTAACCTTTCATACGTCATTATCTTTTGCTTTATGAAACTATAAGTTGCTGCCTTCTCATTCCCAGCCTGCTCTTCTACCTGCGCTGGCTTTTGTAAAATTCCAGAGAGCAGATACGGAAAACTTGAAGCAGGTACAGGCAACAGTGAGTCAAAACTCAATTTGAAACCTTTAACAAAATGCTCATACATTTCCAACTTACTTAGGAAAAACATGAAAATACTGAGTGACCCAAACTATAATTTGTAAACATTTCATAATTAAAATAAATTGGAAACCTAGACACTCACCCATTCCCATCTGGCTGGTATCAGGAGACTTGCTATTTCTTCTCCAAATGCAGACATTTCTCCGCAATGGAAGAGAAGTAAGTTTGTGCTGAGAAGCCTGGCTCATACTGTGCGGTGTGTGATGCCACGGGGAGGGGTTCCCTAAGCTTCCTGGCATGCCTCCAATACTGTATTTTTCTCCAATTCAGCTTCATGTGGTTGTCACTTTTTCTTTTAAATCAGAACTTTCAATATTAAAATGTGGTTTGCAGGGGAATATGGGAACATTTTTGAGAATTTAGAACTTCAGTATGCTTTCTGGAGGGAGTAATTCTTTTTTTTTGAGACGCAGTTTCACTCATGTTACCCAGGCTGGAGTGCAATGGCGCGATCTCGGCTCACCGCAACCTCCGCCTCC